GGAAGAGGGGGGAGAAGAGAATTGTGGGTTGGATATTTTCTTAAAAGGTTCACATGAGCCACATCTATGCTGGTTTCCCTAACTAAATGTCATTGCCAACAGACTTTCTGAGGAAGGAAATGACAAATGGAGCCTAAGATCTGTGTTTGGTTTCATGCTAGATGTTGCCATCTGGTGGTAGTACAGAATATGGATGGACCTTTATTACTGGTCTGGACTCTTATCCTCAAGGAAGCCAGAATTACTATGTTTTAGAAGAGATAGCCATGTAATCTGTGCAAATATATCAGGCAAAAACAAAAGAATTTTTTTTAAAAAAAGAAACAAAAGTGTTGTGGCATCTTAAAGTCTGTTATATTTTAATGCAAGCCTTTATGGACCTTCTCAAATCACTTCATCAGATGTATGAGGTGGAAAACAGGGATTAAAATGTAAAACAGCAGTTGTTAACCTTTACTTTTGTTGCTGCAACTTAACTCAAGACTTAAAACCCTGAAGTGCATCAAATACTTATTTAACGTTTCTCATGAGGAATCTTCAGATTTTGAGAGAAGGGAGAAAGAAATTAATCTGTTAATACACACACTCCTATTATGATATTTTTATTGGAATGATTCTATTCAAATAGTAGTAGAAGTAGTAATAGTAGCAGTAGTAAGAACAATAACAACAATTTGTTGTTGTTTAGTCGTTTAGTCATGTCCGACTCTTCATGACCCATGGAGCAGAGCACGACAGGCCCTCCTGTCTTCAACAACAACAACAATAATGCCCTACAAAAAGTGATGTGGACAGATTATATTTACCATGAAAAATCAGAGTCCGTGGATTGCTGCAAATACAGCAGGTAGTAGAGAAGGAAAAAAGAAACCTAAATGATTATATCAATACAAGGAGAGAAAAATTACTTAAGGTGGTGAAAATGGAGAATATTTTGAAAACAACAGAAACAAAGGCTGAATATAAGAAACAACAATTTGAAAATACATTAAACAGCTTGGGGGGAAAATGACTACACAGACAAAATCTGAGAAATATTGATGGAAAGCATGATAATAATTCAACCTGTGTGTAGCTAAAGTTGGGGACCCTTAAGAAAGAAACCGAAGGCTTGATTTTTGCCGGACAAGGACAAGCCCTCCAAAACAATGTGATGAAAGCTAAGATCCAAGGAATTAGTGCTAACAGCAAATGCAGACTCTGACAAGAAAGAGATGAAACTGTGTCACACCTCATCTGTGAATGTCCAAAGATTGCACAAACAGATAACAAAATTAGACATGATAGAGTGGCAAATTTAGTGTACTAGTCATTGTGCAAAAAATAATTTACCAGCCTCCAAAAACCTGTGGGAACATCAGGTAGAAAAGGTTAACCTCAGAAAATGAGGAAGTCAAGGTCTTGTGGGATTTCTGGATCCAAGCAGATAGACACCTTGAACATATCACACCAGACATAGTAGTAATAGAACAGAGAAATGTCTGGATCATTGTCATTGCAACTGGAAAAACTAAAAAAGTACAGAGACCTGGCAATTAAAATATCTTGCCTCTGGAAGAAACACACTTCAGTGGTCCCCATAGTCGTTGGGGCTTTGGGAACAATATCGAGAAACTTCACACAGTACTATAAGCAGGAAAGCACCATTTGAGCTACAGAAAACAGCAATATTAGGAGCAACATACATACTGTACTGATAAATAGATACTTAGGTTTTTCGTTAAAATTTGTACCTGTTATATAATACCAGTCAATGTTTTGATAATGTTTACTGTGCCTGGTGTTTCTGAATAATATAATAATAATAATATTTATAAGTCATATTTAATTATTGTGGGAGAAACTGAAATTACAAGCACATAAAACATTAATATGACATACCTATACAAAACATCACATGAAAATTAAAGCTAGAAAATGACATGAATATAATTTGAATAAAATTGTACCTCATTAACACAAATTGGGTGGGGAAAAAAGAAATATATTTATATACAGTGGTGCCTCGCATAACGAGCACACCGTTTAATGACGAATCCGCATAGCGATCTATTTTTTGCGATCGCATTGCGATGTTTAGATAGGGAAAACATTGCATTACGATGATCGGTAAGTGTTTCGCTTACTGATCTTCGCATTGTGATGTTTTTAGAACAGCTGATTGACGGTTCCAAAATGGCCACTGGGTAACCAAAATGGCCACAGCAAGCATTTTCGCACGCTGCCCTCACTTACCGAGGCGGTGAAAATGGCAGCGCTGTGGAGGATCTTCGCTCAACGGTGAATTTCCACCCCATAGGAACACATGGAACAGAGTTTAATGCGTTCCTATGGGGTTTTCCTATCTGTATAGCGATGTTTCCGGATAGCGACGATTAATCTGGAACGGATTAACATCGCTATGCGGGGCACCACTGTACTTTATAATTAATGAGAAGGCTGGTGCTGCATTTCACTTACAGGCCTTGTTATATTGGGTTTAATAGCTGAAACTTGTATTCTGAGTTCTGACTACGTTTTTCAAATGGATTTTTCTGGTTTTTGCTGTTAGTCGAGAAACTTCAAATAAGGCTCTCACTGCATTTTCATTGTTTCAACCAGTTGCAGTCTTTTTTAACCATTTTCTTACTTTCCTGAAGCTGTGAAGATTCTCAGTCATCCAAGTGAGCTTATCTGGAGTCTGAAGAACATACTTGGATGAGTAACTAAATGTTTCACAGAAGTCCAGTTGCCATGACTCAGCTTCCAGATTTCCTGAAGCTCATGCTCCTCACTTTTGAAAAAATTGATGCTCTTTGAGGCATGTTTAGTATTGAGAAATCTTTTGAATTTTGCCTTTTTGTATGGCCTTGTTGGACAGTGTCTTGTAACACAACACACACTGTGGTAGTTGCTTGTCTTTGGGACTTGTACACGTGAAGCCAATCAAAAGATACTCCTTGCTATAATTGCAACACTTTTTAAAATTTGGAAGAAGTTTCATTTTGCTTTGAATAGGATGCAACCTCATCAGTAGCATCAGTTCTTTTACATTTAAAATGACCTTGGTAGGATGGAGCACTGGGCCAAAACCAACTGAATGAAATTCAACAAGGATAAGTGCAAAGTACTGCACCTTGGAAACAGAAACCAGTTGCACACTCTCAAGATGGGGGATACCTGGCTCAGCAAATAGGAGTGAGAAGGATCTTGGAATTGTCGTAAATCACAAGCTAAATATAAACCAACAATGCGATGAGGCTATAAAAAAGGCAAATGCTATTTTAGGCTGAATTAATAGAAGTATAGTTTTCAAATTCTGCATTATGCTAATTCCCCTCTATTCAGCACTGGTTAGGCCTCACCTTGAGGGCTATGTCCAGTTCTGGACACCGCACTTCAAGAAGGATGCTAACAAATTGGAACAAGTTCAGAGGAGGGCGACAAGGAGGAATGAGGGCTGGAAACCAAGCATTATGAGTAAAGACTGAAAGAATTTGGCATGTTTAGCCTTGAGAAAAGAAGAATGAGGGTTGATATGATAGCACTTTTCAAATATTTGAAAGGCTGTCATACAGAGGAGGGGCAGGATCTGTTCTCGATCATCCCAGAGTTTTCATTTTTACAACCAGACAAAGAGTGCAAACATGATTCTAATAAGCCTGTTTGGCCAGGAAGGAGTTTAAAGGTTAGTTAAGATCAGGTTCTGATTGACTGAAAAACTTAGGTGAGGGGACTGTTTTGGTTTCTGAAATCCTGATAGTGTTTACTGAAGAGACATGGCAAAATATCCCTCTTTGTGAATGACTGTCACTTTATTACTTTCTTTAAAGCAAATCAGTTTTTTTAACTCTTTAAAGAAAATCTGTCATTTCATTCTGCTTCTGTGACCTTTGTCTCTAAATATTTCCTTCTCTGCTTATGAATGTATACAATGTTTCATTTCATGAAATGCTTGCTAGCTTGTGCTACACATGCTTAGTCTTATAACAAAGTGGCTGTTTTTTCCTTTTGAAAGGCCTTTTTGGAGGATCAATATTTCAACCCCTGCAGTCTGGTTTCTCTCCTGATAAAAACCTGTGGGGAGGCCAACTATTCTTTTTCAAAATAAGCAAGAATAGAATTGTCATTTTATGAGATCTGTTTTAAACTTGAAGATGATTAGGGTTGCCTAACGGGTGGTTTTAATTTTTAAAAATCACAACTTGAAAATCCTTTGCCTAAATTTCCTCAAACTTGGCACAGAACAAGGCAGATTGTCTGCTACACGCATGCTAAATTTGGTGCTGATCTGAAGTCCAGTGTCATAACTTTTTATTTGGACTGCTCCCATTTTTAGAATTGTTTTTGAAGAATGTTGATTTGCTCTGCCAGCACAAAATAATTATCTGCAATAATAATAGCATGAAATAATATAGTTATTATTATAAAACGAAAGCTCTGTCCAGTCACTTAAGGAAGGCTTAATCTGAAAGCATGGGCAGGAGGAAAGTTCTAGCCACCCCCCTGCTGTCACTGTCTCCACGTGAAGTAGGACAGTCTGAAGGGGAGACAGTCTGGGAGAAGTCTGGACATTCAGGATCCTAGTCACATGGAGAGCTCCACAGGTAGCAGAGGCTTTCCTCTTCAACCAGTCTTTCTTCCTGTGGAGATGACAGCAAGCAGGGGAGTCGGTCTAGAATTCGTTCCCCACTCATGCTTTACCTCTGTTTGAATGCCTGAGCGACGCCCAACTTATAATGTCATACAACACTTTTCTCCAACATTATCATCTAGGTACTCTTCTGCCAGAGGTTTGAAAGTTAAGGTCATCAGTTGAACAGTGGTGGGGAAACTGTACATAAAAATGTTTTTGTATACTTTACTCAGTCTCTGTGGAGTAAAATGCCAACAGTAAAAAAGTGTACTATGGGATGTAGATGGTTTAAAATGGCAACTTCCTTCCTTTCCTTATCCATTGCACATTTCCAGAAGGGCAGAAAAATTGTTTTCACTTTTTCTTTATTTTATTTTTACTAATAAGTATGGGGAGAGGTACGTGTAGGATTTTCTGTCTCATGGATCATAACAATATGGCTGGCTTGGGAAACTGTGTACATTGACATTGGTAGGTGCAGATGAGAGCAAAATGTCTTGAGCAGGCCCTGACACTGAGGTATTTGCAAGAGGTGTCCTGCATGTTGTAGACATGATATGCACACTCTGTTTATGTGGAGTGTGCATAGAACCTATTGGATTACACTGTGAATGCATTTGAACTAAGAACCTGTCCAAGAATCTGCCCAACATATGGATAAAAGGTTTTCAGAGAGGTTTGACTGTCAGCACTGGTGTCCTCACTGTAGAATGCTTGATCAGCTTCCTAGGCAGCCAGAAACCTTGCGTTTCAGAAAAGTATCTGTCAATGCTGCAACTTGTCATTTTTAAGCCACCTCTCTCCCACCTCTCAAATGTCTCTTATATAATTAGTGTACATGTTCCTTTGCTTTTGTTTTCCTTTCCCCTCCATCCCATTTTCCTTTGGATCTGAAACATTTCAATGTTTAGATTTCAGAAAATGTTGTCACACTGTCCATGACATAAAGTTCTAACCCAGTGTCTCGGGCTTATTCCTCCCCTCTCCCCATCTTCTTGCAGATTATCAAGAGCTTTTTCAATGACACATGGATAGAGCGAACAGGCACCCCTATCTCCCAGACCCTCTTAACTTCATTGTGGTCCCTCTCTGTGTCAATTTTCTCAGTTGGGGGGATGATTGGTTCTTTTTCTGTTGGACTTTTCGTCAACCGATTTGGCAGGTATGGTATAAAATATCAAAAATTTTACAGCAAATTCTTCCTTCATTTTGAGGCATGAGAAGGAGACAAGATGGGGTTGGGGGGATTTTTGATCTAAAAAGCAAATTCATGAACCAGGTGGAAATGCAGGTAGCTAATGTAACCTGTGTGGAAACTATCAAAAGGGGCTCCTGACAACAGAAAAAAGGGGGTCACTTCAAGCAAGGGAGTAGGGACTTTGTTGAGGAAAGCAAGCAAGCAAGCAAGCAACCAAGGGCAGCCCTGAAATTAGGGCCACTGTCCACCAGGTAGTGCTTCTGTTAACACTTCCCTTCTATTCAAATAAGTTCTTTTCTTCAGTGAGGTTTGTTTTGACCCAAAATATCAGTACAGATTGTGGCCTGTGTTAGTCACAGCTGGATTGAATGTATGCTTCCAATACCAAAGTGCTGTGGCCTAGCCTGTATGATACTCTCCATTCTACTTTTAAAGAATCATTAATGTTTTTTTCCCTCTGTACAGGCGAAACTCTATGCTTCTGGTGAATATTCTGGCTATTCTAGGTGGTGCTTTGATGGGCTTCAGCAAACTTGCAAAGGCTGTGGAGATGTTAATAGTTGGACGCTTTATTACTGGCATCTTCTGTGGTCTCTGCACAGGCTTTGTGCCCATGTATATCAGCGAAGTTTCTCCCACTGCCTTACGAGGGGCTTTTGGCACACTGAACCAGCTAGGTGTTGTTATAGGCATCTTGGTAGCTCAGGTAAGACTAACACTTTCTTCAATAGCAGCAAGGCCACGGGGCCTTGTGGTTTACAGGTATTATTTGTGGGGGGGGGAAGTAATGCTTGGCACTATGGCTCTGCTCTCTTGGGAGTAATCCCCATTCAGCTCAAGATGTATACAATTTGGTTACATGATTCATTGGTTCCTAAGGGAAGGGTACATGGCTTTTCAATTATAACCCTGCAGGCAGGAACTACCTTGTTTATTATTCATCTTACGGAATCTTCTCTGAGAGTAAAAATGCTTTAGAAAAACATTGAATGAGTTAAGATCTGAGCACCGCTATCCTAGAAGAAGCATCCAATTCTTCTCCACAGGGAACTCTGGTATTTGATTCTGGTCAAAGGGATAAGCATCTGCTATCAGCTGTCTAGCCAGTTCATGTTCTCAAGATACTTTGCAGGAAGCAATTGTAGTTACAGTGGTCTAAATCCTGTTACATTTAACTCCAGATGTGCTGTAGTTAACATACAACATATAGGAATAATTCACAACACAACTCTATCTTCTTTTCTCCACCAAATTCTGCAATTAGATCTTTGGCCTAAATGTCATCATGGGAACTGAAAGTCTCTGGCCATTGTTACTGGGCTTCATCATTGTCCCAGCCATCTTGCAGTGTGCAGCACTTCCATTCTGTCCTGAGAGCCCACGTTTCCTGCTGATCAACAAAATGGAGGAAGAGAAAGCACATGCAGGTAGCCATCAACTAAATATATCACCGAAACAACCTCACCTGTTTCTGCTAGTGTGTTTTTGCAGATCAAGGCAACTTTACTCAACTTTTGACTCCTGGTCACCTGAACAGCCAATTATATTTTGTTCACCAGACTATTGTTTTAAAAAATGGATCATGATTTGTCTGGTATTTAAACAGAATTGTCCAATTACTGTCAAACTTTTACTTTGATTAGGAATTATGAGGTACAAAATGTGCAGCTGAAATTATGAAAATGGCCATGACCCCTTGGGAAGGGGTTTAATCTCTTCTAATATGAGCACTGAGACTCTTACATTTTTGCACAAACACATTCATTTCTATTTTTTAAAAAGTACATCACTGAAAAAGCATCAATTTAAACAATTAAACAATTAAACCTAATAACACTATGCCTATGAAAAAGTTAACAATGGAGGTTGGTTGAGCAGATTCTTTTAAAGTTAAATTTTCTGTTATTTGAGGAAATATGGATCTATAATGGGAAAACAGGAAAGAATTCTATAGTCATACAGATTACTCTCAAAAAAGCAAGATCAGTTCCACAGGAAATGCTACATGCTCAGTGCTCTGAGCATTAGTCTTCCCCCTCCAAAGTTCTCTGATGTTTCTGGAATATGAGAGTTCTGGAACTGGTCTCTCACATAATTTCATTTGCTGCTCCATGAAATATTTCTGTTCTATGTGTCATTAGAGAGGAACAAAAGAATAAATTTGTCACACTTCACTGGTAGGTGTTTTGTATGATCTAACTTACAGGGCAAATCACAGAAGCCTCTATTTTGTTTATAGCTGACAAACATTTTCTAGTTTCTTCAAGGCTAATAATATCCCAGTAAACAGTTAATGCCAGAATGAAATCAGACAGTTATAGTGGAACATTTCAAAATTCATCTGGATATTCTAGTATAAGTATTTTTTTTGTTGCAATCATTTCAGCAACTCCAGAGTTCTTGTATTTTTTATGAATGTTGTTTGTCTGTATAGCTTTTATGTTTCAATGAACATAACATGAAATCCATGCAAGAAACAATTGTTTCAGTAGTCTAATCTTTGTTTACGTAACTCGCGAACAAGCAGCCACCCCTTCCCCGCCCAGCGGGGTATTTACAATACGCACTTGCTATTGCTAATAAGCAGAAAGAAAACCAGTGCTGATGTCATACACATCTGCTGGTAAGCAAAATTAAATGTGTTTTGACCAAAGTGTATCACACCAACTATTCATCAGATGGCTCTTTTGTGTCGATGTCTTAAGCAACAAGGTCTGTCATTTTAAACACTGTGTATGTGAATATTCTTACATAAGTCATTCCTGATAAATTTGGGTCATTTCATCTTACCCTGTTTTAATGTTTACAAAAAAAAATCAGCACATCTGTCAGTCTTCCTTGCTTTGCTGTATTGTTGGGTCTTATGCCACAATTTCCCTGGAGTGAGCAGTTGCTGAGTTTTATTTAGAAAAAAGTTAGAATCTTATCCATAGCATTTTTGGGAACAAATTTTATCTGAATTGGTCTTTCAATATGTATTGTAGGATATTAATATGTAAGGTAATAAAAATTGTTATTTTGAAGTCACAGAGCAGCTAAGGCCAGGACTTTGTATCATCTTTATATGACACTGTCAGTGCACATGGTACTTCGTAGAACTTGATAAGCAAAACAAAGAGGAAGTCTTAAATGTCATCCAAGAATTTAGAAAGAGAAGAGGTTCATGGACTTTGTCTAGGGGGGGCGGGGTATAAGTCCAATAAAAGTAAAGTAAAAGTAAAGTAAAGTAAGAGAGGAATGTAAGGTTGTTGGTTTTTGAAAAAATTGGAATGTAAGGTTGTTGGTTTTTGAAAAAGATAAAATTGGTGGTAATTATGAATAGGTTAAACCAAAAACTAGTTTATCTCAAGTGTTGGTTAAGTTACATCAGGATAAAGATACAAATGCTCCAGGGTAGGAAGGACTTTTACTTGGAAATAAAATGGTTCACCCTTCCATAAGCCTGACATTGTCTAAATTCCAATGTTTGATCTGCCAGTTCTTCAGAAACTTCGCGGTGTCCAAGACGTTTCCAGTGATATCCAAGAGATGAAAGAAGAAAGTGCCAAAATGTCCCAAGAGAAAAAGGTGACCATTCCCGAGCTCTTCCGCTCCCCCAGTTATCGGCAGGCCATCATCATTGCCATTGCACTCCAGCTCTCTCAACAACTGTCGGGGATCAATGCGGTATGTACTCTTTTGGTTTCCATTTCCTGAGCATTTTAATATGTTAACTAAATATCTGTAGAGGGAAGGCAACACTTTTAAGGAGCTGGTTATATGGAAGGGCTGGCCTCCACTTTTAATTCACTTTGGAATGGGTGAGGGGGAAGGGATAATAGGTGGGATCTCTGGATAACCTCAGGCAAGTCACAATAACTCTAAACTTAAAACCTCTACATGTATTAAGTGTATAAACTGATAGAAAACAAAAAATGATAGATAACTATTAAGATGCTGAATGAGGGCCCTTTGGGGATGCTCTCTGGTGTTATTTACTGTAGAAGATGGTTTAGAGGCAAGGGGCAAAACATCTTGTGTAAACTTACACTGTGGAGACTGGATAACAATTAATTTAAGTTAATTCAAAAGTTTCTTATTCTGCCATTTCAGTTTCTGACACTTCCTAGCATTTCCTTTTGCCCTGGGGAAGCCTTGAAATTGTGGGGGAGGGGGAGCATTTAACAGTCAAAAACTGCCCCTGGATCGCTGCCACTGAGATTGGGACTTCTGTTGATGATTTTGCAGTGATTGTTGACTCCTCCTCCTGTCCCAGGACTCTAACAAGGGGATAGGAAGCTTTCAGTTAGATATTCCCTTTGTCAGATGATGATGGTATCATGGTATAACTTTACAACAGGTTTTTTGCCAATAGTGTATAAGGATGCAACTGCATTTTAATTTCAAATTCCATTCAAAGATTTTAGGGTAGTTTGTGAATTTCTTCCTCCCATTTTATTCTAATAACTGTCCTGTGAGGTAGGTTAAGCTGAAGATAGTGATTGTCTAAATGGCATAGTCAGTAAGTGGAGATTTAAGATGGGGGTCTGAAATCTCTATTCAGTGTAAATCCAGTGTTGTTCACTGGAGCATGTTGATTATATAACTTGCTTATATTGTGAAGGTGCTTTTAATGTCCTCATAATAATTGTATATTTAAACACCATAGCCTTATTAACATGTTCTGTCCACAAAGTGTTCGTTGGATGGAGGAGATGAGTTTGGCTGCCCTGTCAGTCTTAGCCAGCCCTATCACACATTATGCACATGTTGACATGAGCAGCTGTAAAGGAGAGCTTCTAGCATGGGCTTTTGTTTTGGCTGGAATTGGAAACTCTGATTGCACAAGGTTCCTAATCAGCAGGCTTCCCAGCATAGGAATGGCAAAAATGGGGTGGAGCCAATGGAGAGAAACCTCATTCTTCCTCTCCACATAATTGTGGCGTGGATGGAATATCACACTATAATTGACAGATGACCACACATTGGTTACTGAGTACTGGTAATAAACACTTTCCTACCTCTAGGTGATCTATTATTCCACTGGAACATTCAAAGATGCTGGAGTGAAAGAGCCAGTCTATGCTACCATTGGTACTGGTGTGGTCAACACTATATTTACTGTTGTATCGGTAAGTAAGACTCAATGTATTCTAGGGCTGCAAACCTTTTATTACCTTTCATTACTTTGTACTGCCACTGCAACTGCATGTTTCCTCATTCTTCCCTTTACATAAATTCTTTTAATCATTTGGTTAGTTGGACAAACTTTTGGGTGTGGTTTAATTTTGGAAGTTGGGCTATGATGAAAGGGTACATTTATTTACATTTTGAGGAGATTCTTCTCAAGTGCAAAGTAGTGCACATAGCAGAAACGTCAGGAAGAAAATATAGTTTTAAATATTGTCCTTTAAAAATTATTGGCAAGCTTTCTTTATTATATTTTAAGTTGCATCTCATTCAGGAGTGCTAATTGAAGGCAGGTGTGGGGAAATAATTTTCAAGAGATTTGGGAGATTATATCCAATGCTACATTCTTAAAAATAATTTTAAAGGTGTTTATTTTAGTGACCAGAAATAAGTGTATTATTAGTGCAAGATGAACAATTTCAGCAAGCCCATTCTTCTGCCCTGGGATCCTCTGGAGACCATCCAAAATGAAGGGGGTGGCCAGGGGAAGGAAACTGAAAGTGGTCTGAAGTCTGCTTCAGGATTTGAAAAATGAGGATTTTTTTGGTGTGTTCATGTGAAGAATCTGCAACCTGTTTCAGCGGTGACTTGCTGCTGCTGGAGACTCTCCAGGAGTGACAATTCATCTCTCCCAACCTGGGAGATGTAATGAGGCAGGACCACAAGAACATTGCACATGACCCTATGGTCACACCTGGCCCAGCCCTGCCTACTTGGAGTATGAATATGATTCAGGTACTGTCCTCTTTAAAGCAGAAGAGTTCCTGGAGGCATGAATCTATTAGTTGCAGTAAGTCAGGATGGCTAAATGAAGCTGCCATATTCAGAGACAAAATATACAAGGTGTGCAGAAGAAACAAAAAGACTGCTGCTTTCATATCATGCTTTGACAGCTTTCTGAGAAGCATTTGACACTTGCCTGTCCGGCTGTCCTGCCTGCATATATCTGATGGAAGCGGAATCCCATCCAGGAAAATAATCTTATAAAGCAGCACGATAAAATGCAGGAGTTCCAACATTTCTTGAATTGCCTTTTGAATTGCCAAAAGATGACAGAGGAGGAGTTCAAAAACAGCATGGAACACCGAGACTTGTAGCTGTAGGAGGCCATGCCCACTTCCATTGCTGTCATTCACAGTATAATACAGGGTTGACTGATTGCATTTTCTTGGCTCACACGGCTGTCTTCTTTCTTATTCATTTTTATAACATCCCTAAGAGGTAGGTCGGGCTTAGTGAAAGAGGCTGTGAGTTTTATGGCTGAGTGGGGACAAGAACCTGGATTTCATGTTTGTGGTTCGGGACTAGTTTTTATTTCACATGAGTTTTCCTTCAACTATACAGCTTTTCCTTGTGGAACGTGCGGGGCGCAGGACACTCCACTTAATTGGCTTAGGAGGTATGGCGATCTGTGCTTCAGTCATTACCATCGCCTTGGCTTTAAAGGTAAGCTGCTTCTGTTCTTGCTGAATTGTGTGTCAGCAGTGTCACCAATCATGTTTCAGGGAGAGTCAGTGATGCCAGAATTTTTTTTAGCCAATGTGCTAAAAGCAGTTATTTCTCCATCTCTTTGTTGCAGAACATTGTGAGCTGGATGAGCTACATCAGCATCATTGCTACTTTTGCTTTTGTGGCTGTGTTTGAAATCGGTCCTGGTCCAATCCCATGGTTCATTGTATCAGAACTCTTCAGCCAGGGTCCTCGTCCTGCAGCAGTGGCAGTGGCTGGTTGCTCAAACTGGACATCTAATTTCCTTGTTGCCATGCTTTTCCCTTATGCAGCGGTAAGTGCTCTGCCACAACTATTTCCTCAAGGAGTTAGCAATCTAAAATTTAACAAAAATCAGGGGAAGGCAATAGATGAGACAAGAAAGGTCACCAGATGCTGAATGTTGGCAAATGCAGGTTAGGTACACTTAGATTTTCTTACAGACAGGAGCAACATCAGGTAGAGATTAACTAAAGATTGCAGGGGAGAAGGATTTCAGGAATGGTCCAAAAGGTGATAGTCATTGAAATTAGTTCCTCACATACATGAACTTGTTGGAAAGTTGTACAGTGGGGTCTTGACTTGAGAACTTAATCCGTATTGGAAGGCGGTTCTCAAGTCAAAATGTTCTCAAGTCAAATCTGCATTTCCCATAGGAATGCATTGAAAACCATTTGATCCGTATCTGCTCTTTTCCGTCCATAGAAACTAATGGGAAGCTGCTATTCCGCCTTCGACTACTAGAGGGGGATATTTTGTTTCTTTTTTTCTTAGGTCAAGAAAGGTTCAGGGAAGGCAGGGAAAATACAGTCCAGGCAGTACAGTACCAGGCAGTCTGAAGACTGTCTCCCAATCTACTCTCTAAACGCTGGGAGGAGTGAGGAAGCAGACAGGCAACCTTTTCACTGGCCAACAGTTAACTGAAAGTTCAAATTTTGCACTTTCCCTGCCTCCCACGTGGGTTTTTTTCAGTTCTTAACTCAAATCTAAGTACTTAAGTCAAGTCAATATTTTCCTATGAGAGCGGTTCTTAAGTCAAAATGTTCTTAACTCAAGCCGTTCTTAAGTCAAGACCCCACTGTATATGGATGTGTATGAACTTTTGAGGATGAAGAAGCAAATTAATATGAGCTCATCTGGTCTGTTTCCTTTTCACTCTACCCAAGTAGCTGTATATAGGTGATTTTGTGCCAAAGGGCTTTGTTTCTGTCTATGAAGCATCAAAAGGTATATGTTTCTGCACTTAGAACATACATCTCCTGGTGTGACTAATGGTGACCTTATTTGCAGTATGCTCCAAATTGTGGGAAAACTTTCTATGAGCAGCTCTGTTGCAGCATACCCAGTATAGCCACCTCCCAGGTTGAGATACGAGTCCATTTACACCCTTCCCAGTGAGCCCCAAAGACAGCACTGTGATGATTTGTGACTCGATGTAGACTGTGGCCTGCCAGGGCCAAAAAAGTGTAACATTTGCTCTTTTCTGTTTCTTTTTTGCAGCTGTTCATTGGTCCGTATGTTTTCCTCATATTTGTTGTCTTTCTCATCATCTTCTTCATATTTACATTCTTCCAAGTCCCTGAGACAAAAGGCCGGACCTTTGAAGAGATTTCTAGTGGTTTTGAAAGGCGAACAGAGAGTGGTGTTGCCTCAGCAGCAGTGGAAAAGAATCACATGGTGGAATTGACAAGCATACAGCCCACTATAGATGCTGCTGACAACAACATTTAATATGCTCAGTTCTTGACATTTGCTTGTTTCTGAGGAAGATCCTTACAGGGGACAGGCTGCTATATCTTCTTAAATTGCTGCTATTTTTTCATTTTCCTTCTGACTTCCTTGTGTCTGCCAAGATGTTTTGCAAAGTACTAGAACATGCAAAATGCATGGAAATCTCATTGACTTCCAGCAGTGGAAGGCATTATGGCAAAGATAACTCGTTCTCTCCAACCTCTTTCTTTTCCAGTCTCTTGTTTAAGAAATATTGCTGATCTCTCTCTGTCTCTTCACACTGAAATGTTACCGGGGGGTGGGGTGTCAAGCATATTTATGTGTGTACTGATCATTTACAGCTTTGAAACAAAATTATTTTCTGTGTACAAGTTAATAGCTCCTTTGAACATTCTTTTGATAACGTGTTTTGTACAGTATAGATACAGAAGAAGAGTGTTCAAAAACACTGGAATTTAATATAAATCAGTGGAAAAAGAGGCATACTTATTTATTTCATCAAATGGGAGTTTTCATCACCATTAGGAAATGGGGATAAAGCTACAAGGATTATTCTCTCTCCTTTTTGTACAATCCAAAGTATTTTATTTACTAGAGTTTATTTATCCCTGTGTGACATTGCTTGTAAATATTTATTTTTATGTAAAAACAATGCTCCTGTATATATGAACCAAGTAAAATATTTTAAGATAGATATTTTAAGAGATGATAGTGCAGAGTTAGAAGCACTATGGTTCTAAAGGAGTTTGGTGATAGGCAATGGAATACCAAAGAGAAAAGAGTCAGGCAAGAGACAGGTACAGGGTCTGGATGGATGGTGCCTATTGTAGTTAAAGGTCAATTTTGCTTTTAGGAACACTGATCCCTTGAAAAAAACAAATGTTTTCTTCTATTGTTGCTTCTGGGCTTCTCACAGTATTTGGCGGCTGTATTGAGTACCTGTCTTTAAGTATTACTTGAAAATTGTGGCGTTAAAAATAATTGGGAAAGTGTGATGAGTTGTTTGCATTCATAAATTACAGACTATAGGCCATTTTTAATGGATTTTGATTATATGAGTAAACCTGTGGTTGCTGATGTGTGAAAATATAAGATAGGATGTGGAACACACTTATTTCAAGGACTGTCCTTCAAGGATGAGAACATGGCTCCCAAATTGTGCAAGGCTGCCATTTTGGGTGAGGGATAAAATATCCTCTCTCTCTACATTTGTTCTCTGAATTTGATGCCACTCCATGTCATAACCTCATGTACATTAAGACCCCAGAGTACATTATCTTGTTTCTGAAAGCTATATGGAGTAGGAGATGCTTATCTGGCCTACACTTTTGCATTGTGATGGAGGGGATGGTTTGTTTTCCTGTTTCTTTTCTTTAAAAAAAAAAAAAGAATGAAGTCTGAACACCGAAGAAGGCAAATGATACTTAAAAGACTGAAACAAAGCTAGGTCATCAATTTAATTCTATCTTGTCAATTATTTTATTATTAGATGGCAAGTTCTTGAAGTGTGGAGATGATGGAATATAGAATAGCGATTGAAGACATTAAACTGGATAGTTTCAAGTATGACTAAGATATAAGCCCATAGTACTTGAATAACCTGAAGATATTTCAAATCTTTGCCAGTGGGTACAAATGTATATAACTTATTTTTCTTTCAAGTAGCATTGTGGTATATAATCTACCATAATATATAGTGTACTGATTTGGCTAACTGTATTCTATATATTTCATTGGATTCAAATTTCAGCATATTCATTGGTGTTGACTGAAGCAGGCTCCCCTATGCCTCTCAGTAGCACCTTGAACTCCTGAAAACTTTGGAAGGAAGATTTGGAATGCTTTGCTCAATCAGGCGGCCTGTGATTGGGGTGAAAGGTATATCCTGTCAAATTGGATGGAAGCACCTTTTATGAGCAAAGTTGTATTTGTGGAAGGTATCCGCCTCCTTTTCACAATTCCCTAAACTTCTTCCCAGTGCACCATAGCCAACACAGTTTTCCAGAGCCTGGTCTATAGAATGCATTTCCAGAAAGCTGGAGTGGTTGTCATGGGGAAGAGGGCATTCAACATGTCTGCATTAATTAGCCTGGTTGCACACATCTCAGCCTGGATCCAACTCATTACCAGTATTGTTAGTGGGATACATTTTTATAGGCACAGAAATGTGAACTAGTGTAATATTTTGGTGCTGTCTGAGTGTGCATGCATATCTGTGAATTAACGCATTCCAGAAAAATGTGTGTGGTTGCGATAATGGTCTCTACTCCTTTCTTAACCAATTAAGGAAAGGGAAGACATGCCTTTTCAGGGGACTTGGGAGCTGTGGCTATGTGTGGGTATAGAAGATATGTAATGGAAAATGACCGGCACCCACGCCCATCTACAGTTCCCAGGCACAAACCTAACTCTGTAAAACTGATACAAATTTATATTGTTGGTACAATGTGTGTGCTGCTAATTAGGTGATTTTCCTTTTGATGATAGTGTTTGCAGTTTTGAGAGTTGTCCTATAACTAGTTTCTGAAGGAATAAAGTCCTTTGTGGTCCTGTTTACTGTCCTGGAAGGACTATTTCTCTTCATGGCTTAGTTTAACAGAAAGTAATTCCATTTCCAGAGCCACTGAGCAATTGAAGGCATAGTGAAATCAACAAAAACATCCTGAGGAGGAATGTTCTCATTGCACTTTGAGTAGTACTAAAAAGTATACCTCACATCTGATCTCTTAGTACTGGATTCTGCTTTCTTCGGGCTCATCCATCTTTTAACCTTCAATTCCCCATCATTTGTTAGCTTACCTGAACAAGAGCTAGTGTACTTTTCCTTTTTCATCCAGCTGTGTCTCTTAACCCTCCATGGATCAACTCTTGAATCTATAGGAAAGCTGCAGCCTTTCTGTATGGGGGCAACTGCATTCCACATTTAGCATTCCACAGCTTGTGCAATGTCTTGGATTGAAATGTTTGTGTGTCACTGTCCATTTTTTTTGTTCTTTGTGCTGTGAAGATTTCCAATGGGTTTTATAAGTTTTATTGTCGATGTGCTATATGTATGTCTTTTTTTAAATAAAAGATTTTGATGAAAATATTACAGGTGTTTATATTTTCATAATTTCCCCCAGTATTTCTAAGATACATCTGGAAATGTCAATCAGCAACTGTAGCTCTACTGCCACTTAAGTTTTCCATATAAATCTAAACCCTGCACATTATTCATGGCCATTCACACAGCTTCCTGCATAATTACTCGGACTTCTACATACTACTCTGCCTATTCTCCTTGGGTCCTGATAAATGCCACTATGCACTGCATGTTTCTTTCCTGCAGACCTCTTTCTACATCTGGCATGTCACCAGTAGATCCTTATTTACCTCTCTGCTCCATTTTTGCCTCCCAATATTTTCAGAACTTCAGTGATATCTGTCAACATTACCATGCATCACTGGTTCTCCGGAGAATCTGTTCATTGGTACAGAGCTTGACAACCCCCGGTCTGCACCCCACTGCTGGTCCGTGGCCCAAGTTGGACTGGGTCGCGGAGACAGACCTCTTGCCACCTGCATGCACTCCTCTCCCCACAGCTGCTTTGCACACATGTGTGTGTGTCAGCGCTGGAATGAGCGCTCCACCACTCCTTACATGCGCCCATGTGCATGCGCAAAGGGGTGGATGGGTGCATGGGCAGGCATGCAGATGCTGCTGTGCATGCACAAAGGGGTGGGGGAGTGCTCATGCCAGTGATGGTGCACGCACGCTCTCCCCCAGTACTTTGCACATGCGCCTGAGCGCACAGGGTGGTGTCCTGCCTCATCCCAAAAACGTTGGGGACCACTGCATTAGTATATATAAAAAAATATGAGGAAAGATTTTCCAATGAGAATGTGTGAAAGCTGGCAAACCTCTACTATTTTAGTTCTAACCTCACAGAATTGAAGATGAAAAGATGTGGGTTGGTCATACATGTCCTCCTGTTGAGCTCCTTGGGGGAAATGTGGGATTCAAAGTCCAGTTTTTAAAAGTGGAAATACATTTCACAGTTTTGACATTCGCATGCAAAACTCTCCATGATTTGGGTCCATGTTACTTCTTGGAGTGTCTTTACTTTAATGTCATTTGCCTGAGCCACATGATCCCCCCAGTTGAAGCTCTTCCAGGTGGCTACCCCAAGGGAGGCCCATAAATCCTTTACAGGAGGTAGGGTCTTCTTGGTGGCTCCAACTTTATGGAACCAGCTTCCAGAGGAGCTCCGCCTAGCAGAGTTTTAGGGAGGTTTTCCTCACTGACTCCAGCTGACCACCTTCCCCCACTTTTTTTCTTTTCCCCTCTTTTCCCCTCCATCCACTCTGGGATTAGTAGGTGCCATATGGGTTTTTATAAAGGGTTACTGCTGTTGGTTTTAATGTCTCTTAAGTAACTTAATTACTTACGTTCACATTTAACTTTTTAGTTAACTTTTACGTAGCTCGTTATTTCAGTGGACACATCCTGTGTATGGAGGCAAAGCAAGGAGGAAGGCCCCTGCCTGTTCTTTCCCTGACCCACCCATACAGTCTCTCTACTAGTGGAGGGTAGATCAATTAGCTAAGGTTGTGTGGCTCGGCGAGCTAGGCACCTGGCTGTGGAGCCAGAGGTTGGGAGTTCAGTTCCCTATTGAGCATTCCCAGAAGAGCCAGCCCTGGACAAGTTGCGAAGTCCCAGGATGCCCCCAGAAGAAGGGAACAGTAAACCACTGCTAAGTACTTTCTACCTAGAAAACCCCGGAAAGGGTCAGCGTGGCAGCACACAATAAATATGGCTCACACTCCATTGCCCCACCTAGAAATATTGTTGCCCATTCAAACAAGAAAGATCACCTACCGGGCTGGTTTCTGCATGATTTCCCCCCCTTGAGAGAGAAAGATTTTCTTATACATTTGTCTTTTCTTACTCAGAGAATTTTACATGGAATCCAGACTTCATCTTTGATTGGTAAGCTTTCTAAGTTTTTCCACAGTTTCTTCCATTCTTGTTTGTACCAGGAAGAAAAAAAAACTGTTAGAAGGAGAATAGCTGCACAATGTCTCATAAGGTATATCTCCCTTTGCAATTTCATTCCTTTGACTTCAGGCAATGATTTATAATCACATGAGGACTTGCATGAAGTAAATCACAGTGGCATTTACCTTCATGTTACAGTTTTGGCATCATAAATGGGTTTCACTTCTTTTTACTTAACACATCACTGCTGACTCTCCATAACTCAACTTGAACACGGTATAGCTTACTTCAGAGCAGACATATGTAGTATGGCACCTTTTATTCATTGCTTTGAAAGACTGTAAGTTCTAATCACCAGATTCCTATCAGTGTGCTTGCAAATGTTCTGTCACTGGAGAGGTTTCCTCACATACAAAGTCACATGTAAATAGATGTAAATTAACAGGATGTTGTTTTTATTACATGGCATGGGAACTGGATTCCCCCACCTCATCTACCATTCATTATAATCATATATTCTTAAATAAGGCAAAACTGGAGTAAAAGTAAAGGTAAAGGTTCCCCTTGACAATATTTTTGTCCAGTCGTGTTTGACTCTAGGAGGCGGTGCTCATCCCCATTTCCAGCCATACAGCCAGTGTTTTGTCCGAAGACAATCTTCCGTGGTCACATAGCCAGTGCGACTTAGACACGGAACATTGTTACCTTCCCACCGAGGTGGTCCCTATTGATCTACTTGCATTTGCATGCTTTCAAACCGCTAGGTTGGCAGGAGCTGGGACAAGCAATGGGCCCTCACTCCGTCATGTGGATTCGATCTTACGACTGCTGGTCTTCTGACCCTGCAGCACAGGCTTCTGCGGTTTAGCCCGCAGCACCACCACGTTGAAGAAACTGGAGTAACAAACCATATAACATTTGTTACAAAACAATATTTTTAATGTGGACACCAGTGTGTGCATAGAATCAAGATTCACTACACATTCTTTGTATCAGAGTGAAATGTAGAAAAAATAGAAATAGACAGAATTGCACAGCTTTATGATATTTCAACACAAGAATGCATTTACTTTTGTGAAGTGGAGAATTAATTTCTATATGAACTCCAGCTGAATCAACCCAAAGTACTTAGATATGGGGAAATTTATCCCACTGAAATAAATAGTTCACATGTTTTAAATCAAGCACTTTATCTAAAATTGATTGTAGGTTGAACAGCCTCTACTGTAGTCTGACTACATTTACATTACAATCCATGTTTACTAAAATAAAAGTTTTACAGCCAGTTTTGATTTGCAACTTTACATTTAAAACAGTAGCTTGCATTTAAGTGAGAGAATGAGACTTAAAGTGCTTTATTATAGATTTGCTTTTATTCCTAAAAAGATGTCACACACAAACATTGTAGGATTGACTTTCCAACATGCTTTTCTTTGGCCTTCACCACATTTGCTTCTTTTGTTTCTGGGGAAAGTTTACTTTCACCTCTGTTCTGATCTTCTACAGGTTATGCTGACTAGTGCAAAAATGGTAGCTGGACGATGATGATTGTTGCTGTTGTTATTGGTGGTCAAATGACTCTTGGTTTTTTTTCTGATTTAAAATTACTTTTTTTGCAAACAAGCAGCAGCTAAAGCAATCATTAATTTAAAGCAAAACACATTATATCCTTTGGAGACCCCGTAGAGACTGAGCTATTTATCTGGGATCTGGGCCACAAAAAGGCTGTGTTTCCCTCCTTTCTCTTTGCCTTTGCTTTCCTAACACAATAAAGCTGGACAAGAGGTCAACAGTAAGTGCACATGAGAAGATGTGGCAAGTGTGCAGTTTGTTTTTAGTAAGCATATTCTTCTATATCTATGGCATACTAGAAAAGCAAAGCCTTTTTCTTTAGCTCATTCCTTTTCCACAGTGCAAGCCGTTCGAATTGTTCAATGCTCATTTTAAAAACATCTTGAAACTCTTCAGGGGACAGGTGCCGCTTGAAAAAAAAAAAAAAAGAAGAGGAGAGACCATAAGAATTTCTAAAGTGGATCACCTTCCCTTTATAAAGTGTACTAGAAAGAAATTGACCAAGATTTTATTATATCAGTATTTGGGGAAATAACTTCAGCCATATACAAGTTCTAATTAAATACACATTTATTAATTACCTAAGTTTATTTATATATTAACATTCAAACCATCAAACTAAAATATCATAAAAACCATAAAGATAATATATAAATAGCAGAATAAATAGAACCAATCTCTGGCTAGATAATAAAATAATAAAACATGAAACAACAGCCAGATGACAAAATATCTGCATATTTCTTACAAGAAGAAAAGATAATTGTTCTTTTTGTATCTTCAATTATTGTCAATAGAAGATACATTCACTTAATGTCCAAACTTGGTGGTTATTCTGAATAAGCCAAGTTAAAACAGCACTTTACAGTTCTGGCTTATTTCCCCAAACCAGCAGCGGGCAATGCCAAGAGGCCCAGAAACCACACACATCTGCCCCTGAACACAGGAGGGCTGCATCACTCCTGTGCTCCTCACCCTTCATTTTTTTCTTACAAAACTAGGGCTCCAAGCTAAAAAGACATTTTTTGCCATCCAGTGGCCAAAATATCTATTTAAAGTTCTCTTTTTTTGGAAAACTGTAGACATGGAGAGCAGAGGTGCTAGACACACTCAAAATATGTCAAAATTCCCCCATGCCCCCTAAACGGAACAAGGAGACTTACATGATTCATTAAAAAAAAATAGAGTGTGGGAATATTGTCAAGCCCTAGCGGCATTACAGACTTCTTATTGCTCAACTCTTTCCTAAACTTAACAATAAACAATAGTTGGATGGAAATAAGAAGAAAGTATTTCTTCCTCACACTCACTCCAGAGGTGGAGAAGAGGGCTCAACAGCCTTAGGGTTGCATAACATAACACAAAACCATATTTTAGTAATAAAACTAAACTAGATCACTATCTACCATGACAAATCAAATCTAGAAGTCTGCTATGCTGAAAAAAAAATTACTGGACACATAAAACACAGATATATTTCCCCAGAAAAGACTATGGTAAAAAATCTAGGTGTTATATTTTGAGGTGGGACTAAAGATAACAAATGGTATTGAACCTGAAAGCTGAAGCATTTATAAAGTCTATCCCAAGGCCATTATAAATTGGCCCCAGATGCAGCTGGTTCAGCACTAGCTCATAATAGGAGCTTGTCTTTAGGCCATCAATCTCTCTCTACTACCATCTCCTCTCTTGCCTAAACATCACTGTGGGAGACTCTTTGTTTGACCTCCGTTACATATGGCATGGCCTATGAGCATCTTGGAAAATCTATCATCTACCCATCTTTCCATCTCATGCATTTTACAGGTGCCTCTACATACCTTAGGAACATCAGTTGCCATGAAAAATGTATCTTTTATTAATTCTACCAGAAAATAATTTATGCCCATTCTGAATCCATGTGAAGGGATTTCATATTTTAAACTATCTGTGAAAAGTTATAAGGAGAGATCTTTCTTACCTCCAGCCTCGTTCTGTCTACATCCTTTGGTAATTTCACCCGAACTCTGTTTGTTACAATAAGTGTTTCATACGGATAGACCTATTATATAAAACAAACAAACAAAAACAAAAGCGTAATGTATGTTGTCTAGAAAAAATTAAATTATCCCTTGTCACTGTTTTTGTTGTTGTTTTTACATAAAGGGAATACACAGAACATTGTTCAGAAGGGTTGATTCAGGGCTGGCTCAGGACATTTTCCTGCCTGAGATGAAGATTTCCCTGCCCTTGACATTGTGGTGGGCTGGTAGCAGACACATACTTCACCACTGGCAATGAGACAGTGCACCTGAGGGCAGCAGCCACCATTCAGGAAAGGAAAGTTAGGTTGCATGGGGCCACAGAGCGCTGTCCTTCAGTCTGTCAATGCTTCTTCCCACTTCTCTGCTGCCTGAGGCTCCTATATCACGCTGCCTCAAGGCGGGGCCTATTAGAGATGATTCTTAACTTCCTTGTGCTCAAGCCCTCCTTACCGTGTATTCTGTAAGATACAAAAGAAACAACAACAAACACAAAAATAGTTAGTAAATTACAGCAGATCTAGCTGGTATTAATATACTATCTTTGAAAATCATTATTTTCTTGATACAGATTCCATTTAAAAGGTCTGCTCTGCAGAGTCACTTCACGTTGGGGCTGTAGAGGCTCCTTGGTCTCTTTGTACCATTCAGTATACCAGTCGAGAATACACAGTTAGTGTAAATATAGCAGCACAAAGTGTATGCCTCATGGCTGTTGTGTTGGCATATGTATCCTCAGGAAAAGAAAGCCAATTAAAAAGACCATTCAATAATACTGTGGCAAAGTGGAATAATAGCATATGGAAGAGCTTTTTGTGGAGCAGAGAGAGCATTGATATGGAGCATTTTTATCTCAAAACCAGTAGTCCCCAGCATTTTCTGACCAATGTTCAGCTGAAATGTCTGGGATCCACTTCTGCCCCCATCTTTGTATCGTATGCTGGCAGTCTGATACCAAACTGGCAATCACTGCATTAATCCAAAGGCATTAAATTTTAAATTCATCTGCACTATACAGAACAACCTAATGTTTGCTTTATGGTTATTAATGCAGTCCAGGTTAAACTCTAAAGAGACAGATATTCCGGGACAGATATTGTAGGAATCTGGAGGAAGGAAGCATGGACACTGCTGAAGAGGGGCATGAACCACCGGTTCCGCAGTATGGCCCAGTTTGCTTCCTGGCTGAACAGCTGATAAGCAGAGCAGTGCCCCATCCTCTCGAGCAGGTACCCATTTGGAAGCAGCACCAGGAGGAGGAGGAGTGCTGCTGCTGAAGTGGGCACCTGCTTGTGTGTGTGGGGGGGAGGTGTGGAAACACTGCTCAGCTCTTTGACTGGGAGACAAACCAGGTTGAATCGCCAAACCAGCAGTTGGTGCCCATCTCTAGATACTACTCACACAGAAGAGGATCGCCTTCCCCCCTACCCACCCCTTTCTGTGGGAAAGCAGAAATGGGACGCTTGTGCTGACTCACAAGATGTTAGAGTATACCTCTCTTTCCCCAGGCAGCATCCTGGTCAGCATCATCCGGGTTCATATTGGCACCCTAAAATATAAAAAAGATGGGTTTGTTATTAAATGTAAACATGTTTTTAGTACTGATTTTATTTATCATTTAAAGAGTAAAATGCTTGCTTAATTCTTTTAAAATATTTGTATACTTATTGTTTTCTAGTTTCCAAATATTGTCCTTTCAATGGTGTAAGTTGCCTTGGGTCTTTTTAAGGAGAAAGGCAGGATAAAACATTTTAAATAAATAAAATATGAACACTATTGAATATGAATTCAAAATATGAATTTAATTGCTGTGTAAACTCATAAGGCCTCTTTATCACTGCCACTTGGCACTGAAGACTCAATTGTTTTGAGACATATTTTCTGGCCAGATCTATCACAATGGAGCTGGTTTTAATTAATTTTACTTCAGTGTCCTTTTAAATTCAATTATGATGACACAGAACTGCTCTATGCACCTTCCCTGGAAAAACTGTACTGGAGGCAGAAATAACCTGACAAGTGCCACTGGGTAGCCTAGTAGTTGCAGTGGCATCCATGGGTATTGCGTTGAGGTTCTAAACCCACCACGTGGAAGTAAGTCCCACTGAATTTAATGTGGCATATTCTATGTAGAAATTGCAGAGTTTATCATCTTACTGAAGTGTGAATTCATTATTATTTGATTTTGTTTCTTAATATAGAAGACTAATACTTTGTTTACTTTTTATTGGCTGTCTAGCTCAAACCTGGTATGACCAAGTTTCAAATGATTAATGGTAACGATAATGACAATGATGATGAAGCACAAAGCCTGATACCTCGAAGAGCCCCAGTGAGAGGCAAAAAGTCTAGAACTGAAGGATAAATAAATGTTGGGCTAAACTATAAGAGAAACTGGCTCTGAAATGAGACGCAGAACCTCCTTCCTTCAGTGACAAAAGACATTCATTTTTTTGCCATTACAAATTTGTGTGAGTTTGTTTGGTGGCTAATAATGGATTGGCTCATAGACTTCACTTGATTGTACTCCTAAGCTTATCAATCTGACCAAACAGAACATTGTGTATGTTGTTACACATTTGTAAGTCTACCTACATGGTGTAACCCATTTTTCCCATAGTCAGGAAGAGATGCAGATTTGGAATATGGAAATCCTGTGAAGACAAAGAGAAGAGAAATACATTGTTCTACATGTGCATTGATTTAAAAAAGCACAACACATTTCCAGTATTCAAGTGATATTGTACAGGCCATGCCAGATAAGAAAGAAGGCAGAATAAACTTTATATATAGGTGATCTTATGTTATTAGCTGCAAAGATTCTATCACATAATTAGACTCCACTCTGGTATGGAAGACTGAAGATCCACTGAATTTCCAGCACTGGACTAAATGTAAAGGAGCAGGATAGTAGGAAAGCTCTCTGTCCCTGCAGATCGCCCCAATATCTTCAGCCAGCATGCCCAACTGAATGGAGAGTCTCCATATGTAGCAGACTATTGTGTCCCACACCAGAGTACTCAGGGTAAAGAATACATCAAGGGGCACAACATTGAAGTGCTCTACCCATATACTAATTTCAACCTTTAAAAATACAGTATTGTAACATGCTTTCTTTGATTTTAAGAGAATGGATCAGGGCACAGACATGATTTCAGATTTAACTGTTTGTCCAATTCTTGGTGCAAAATAAACCTAATAAACAGAGATAGGTTCCCTCAGATTTTTCTAGATAAAGAGAAAGCACAGGCTTGGTTATAAAGGTTTTCAAAAGTACTCCCAAACTTTGAATGCCCTATATAGACATTGAACCCATAGAGGAATGATACTAGGAAAGTATTCAATCAATATCTACATTGATCTCATAACTTGCCACAAAAATTGTGCCAATATTGCCAGTTGTCCCATTGACACTACACTGGCCAAGCTGTAATTTCCAGAAGACTTATATTTTCTTTTTAAAAATATATATATTTTTATTCATTTTCCACTGGGTCAGGGAACATCATAGGGAAGGGGATTTGGAACAAGGTACTGGGGTAAATAAAAATTACAGAATGTGGTAGACATGAATATATATACTTATGACTTTTACCGATATGTTTTCTTACTAAGCTTACTTCACACTAATCTTGCCAACTTTTTCTAAGCCTTTAAGTGTATCTTCTTTCTTATAATTTCAACCCATTCCTGTTCTCATCTTCATCCAATTATACAAAGGTTCCCATTTTTTTCTAGCCTCAACAATTTCCTTGTCTTTTAATACTTCAGTTAAAATATCCATCTCTGCTGCTGTGAAAAAAAAATTCTATTAACTCCTGGATTCTTGAAGTCTCCTCTTTTTCCAGTACAGTGGTGCCTCGCACAACGATTGCCTCGTGGCGCAGTGGTTAAAA